CCGAGAGCAGGGTTCACAGTGGGATTAAAATGTGTGACTGTGCCCATCACTTCTCAGCACTGGTGTCCTCATGTTTTATGGTGAGGATCAGATGATATAACGGCACAGCATCTTTATCAGCCATAACCCACAGCACCAGTTGAGGGGATCTTTATTGTACTGTCAACCTTGAAGAACGCAAATTTACGCAGAACTCTTTGGTGGCTTGCAAATCAAACTGCATTCCCAGTCAGCCCTGTCTGCTCTGAGCACTGATGGTAATACGTTCAACTTAGAGACAAGTACACAGCCCAATAGCCATGCTTGTGGTCCAGAAATGTCACTGTTCAGCTTGAGGGGAAAGGAAAATTTTCCTTCCTTCCTTCCTTCCTTCCTCCCTCCCCCCGTCTCCCTTCCTCCCCCCCTTTTCCCTCATCCTCTCTCCTTCTTTCTCTCTCTCTCTTTCCTTTTTTTTTTTTAAATAACTAAGGTTATGGGGCGCCTGGCTGGCTCAGTCAGAGGAGCATGAGACTCTTGATCTCAGGGCTGTGAGTTTGAGCCCCACGTTAGGTGTAGAGATTATTTAAAAATAAAACCTTTAAAAAATAATTAAGGTTTACAACATTACTAAGATTTAGAACAGGCCAAAGAAGCTGCAAATTCTTCCTCCTTTCTTTTCTGAAGTCAGAGCCCCTCCACAAGAGTCCGGGTTTTCCAAGACCTGATGCTGCCTGAGGCACTCTAAGCACAGGATATAAGTACATCGGTTGCTGGCCCCACATCCATGTGCTAAAGTCCCCTAATCACCAGGGTCCAATTTTCTCATCTTCCTTCTGGGAAGAGAGTGGAATTCAATTCTGTTGCCTTTGCTACCCTCCCCCACTTATTTAATGGAGCAGAACCCTCCAATCCATTAATGCTTTAGATAAGAGACTACACCCTTTTATTCACAAATACTCCAAGGTGTTTCTACATGTTTGAAGTTGTTTTCCAGAAAAGGGTGTTTTTTTTCCCTTTTGTGTTTGTGAGTGTGTTTAGAGAATTGGCAAAAGCAGGAGCAAGGGGGCAGTCCGTGAGGCATTAGGGCAATGAGTCAGTGTTTCTAAGAGTGCAGGAAAGGCCCCACAATGGATGAAGGGCTCATGACTGGGCACCACACACCCAAGATTGTTAAGATCAAAAAGTGAAGTTGGTTTAAGTCATTTCTCTAGGCCCAGGTTTGGCACAAGAAAGTTGAACCTGGAGGTTAATTATGAAGAAAATGAGAGCCATCAGCGTGTGTCTTAGGTGTTCAAGGGGGAATTACAAAGACTAGGGACTTCCAAGGATAGCTCTCTGAACTTAAGTAATAAGCTTAGATCCTGGTCCCAAAACAGACCAGAGGAGGACAGAAGGTGAACTGAGGGTCTAGATGGGGTAGGGACCATACATTTCCTTCTGAGCACATGGGAGGGGCATATTTCCCACTCCCCCTTACAATCATGTGGGCCAGTGGAAAGTTCTGGCCAATGGACAGAGGGTAGAAGTGATGTTTGCCACTTTTGGATCTGCCCTTGAGATTCTGTGTGACCCTCCACTCCCTCTCTCTCCCCAACTGCTGTCACATGTGGAAGATAGAAGGGACAGCTCTGAGGACCCAGAAAAGATGGGGGAGGCACAAGATGGAAGGAATCTGGGTCCCTGAATGACTGCACAGCCTCTCCCTTTTCCAATTACACTGGATCATAGCATGAGCAAGAACTAATTCTTTATTCCGTTATTCCCCTAAGATTTGGGAGTTGTTTGTTTCAGCAGCTAGCCTACCCTGTCTAATACTCCAGCATTCTATCAGTTGGTACTTGTGTTAAGTAGAAAGCTGGCAGGACTTTGAGAAGTACCAAAAACTTCCACCAAACACACCACGTTGGTTTGTGATGCATATTGTTGACACCATTCCACATGACCTTCAGTTCTCATCTGGGGAGTCATCTCTTTGAGTTAAGACCTTCCTACAATTAAAGTGAGTTAAATTACTAATGAGTTAAAAGGGATTAGAGGTCTCATTAATTAGTCATCACCCTCCACAATGCCACTGGCTTTTAAAAAATGCATTAGCAAAAGTGGAAAGCAGAGACTAGTGGGCTTGGATGGAACGCTCCCAGGCAGGCAATATACTTGCTTCTATATACTGATGGATGTGGGAGAGGGCGTGGGGCTGTGAACACACCGGTTGGCATGTGTTTCTCCACTCCACAGAGTGTTGGCCCTGGATCAGAAGCAGCAAAGCATAGAGGTGGTGGCCACAGGCTATGATATGGGGAATTCAGGCTCTGGACCTGCTCAGATCTGATGCTTCTTTGGGGATGTTGAGTAGAACCTCTTTAGACCTCAGCTGTAAAATCAGAAAGTTAAGCCTACTTTAGAGGGTTGATGCGCAAGTGATAAGAAACAGCGTAAGTGGGGCACCTTATATGGTGGCTGGCGTATCATTTTTCTTCCCTGAGGAGAGCGTGAGCGTACTAGAAGGAAAACAGATTGGCAGTCCAATCTCTGGAAGAGAGAGCCCCAAAGAACGCAAGGACAAGGAGCACTCCAAATCCACTTCTTCCCAGCTCCACCTTGGTTTGGCCTTGGGACAAAAGATCTGGTAAAAGAGTAGACGATGTCTGCTTTCATATTCTATAAAATTGCCCCCAAGGAGGGGCTCATCTCCATGATGGGGGGGATCATGCCATCAGTCATTTTTCCTCAGGTTTCAGGGGGCCGTGGAAGCATTTTTCAGAGAAATGAGCACAACGCTCCCTGAAAAGAACCAACTAAGTGCTAATTTGGGTAAGTTGGCTGGCTTCTGATAAGCCACTTTTCAGACTACAAATTCCTGAAATCCAGTCTCTGACCATTTTTTCTCAACAAAGTCAGCGATTCTCTTTGAGAACAAAACTGCTTGGTTTTCTTAAAGCCAAATAGAAATACTATTTCCAAAGGCATCGAACCTACAAACTTCTCATGTTCACTCTTGTTCCAAGAACATTTAGAGGAATCCCAAAGTGTATTGATTAAAATACTCTCAAATTTCTAATCAGATATGGGAAAAATTAACCCTGGAAGTTGACTGTGAACCTTTGTCGAGTAATGTGACAATGTCCCCTGGCTCTCTCTGTGACTTTTCTGCCTTGAGAAATGAACATCCTATGTCTTACAGGGGAGCCACATGGCACCCAGTCACCAGCTTCCAGGCACATGGAGACTTTCCCATTGCCCCGGGACTTGGAATTTTTGTTTCCAATACTAGTTTCTGGGAGTCACTTACCCAAATATCTTCTATCTTATTACTTTCTCTCCCAATACCTCCTTGTTTTCTCTTCCTACACACCTACCCTGTGATTCATCAAGTCCCAGACTTTCCTCTTCAGAATTATATACATTTTAAGTGGATTATTCTGTGTGGATGCCCATGTGTCAATTTACGTGTACGGATTTCAGATCCCTGTGCTTGGCTGGCTAAGCATCTGTCTACACGTGTCCATCCACTGTATGACTTTCCAACTCACTCAAACAAAAACCCCAAGTCCTTTTGTGACTGGGGTCCCTTCTCCCTACGTGACCTCATCTCCTACCATTCACCCCTTGGCTATGGCCACAGCGGTCTCCTTGTTTCTGAAAAATGCCACCCACACTCCCACCTCAGGATTTTGCTTTGGCTGCTCTATTCGCCTGAAACCGTCTTCTTCCAAATATCTGCTTTTTCCCTCCCTCCCTACATCCTGCCCTTTTTCAAATGTAACCTTATGAGACAGGCCTTCCCCAGCTCCTCTGCAAAACAGCACACCTTCTGCCCCACCACCCCGATTCTGCTCTATTTCACCGCATGGAGGGCTACTGTCAGCTTCTCCCCTTTTGAATGTAAGAGGGATTTTGTCTTATTTATTGCTCTGTGCCTGACACCTGAAAAAAATCTGACACACAGAAGGGGGGCCAGGAATAGTTGTTTTAAATGTGTGAGAGAGTGAGGAAGGCCTGAATGCTTATAGCAACCAGCTTCACCCAGTACTTGCACATCTTAAAATTTCTATTTTCCTGATGCCTCAACATCCCACAAACAGACGATGAGCAGTGATCAGGGACATAAGGCTGGCCCCTGTTACCAGTTCCCCTTCTTGGGCTCCCTGACCATGACCTAGTCACATTTAAACACACCAATAAAAAGCCTCACGCCGGGCGCCTGGGTGGCTCAGTCGTTAAGCGTCTGCCTTCGGCTCAGGTCATGGTCCCAGGGTCCTGGGATCGAGCCCCGCATCGGGCTCC